AAAAGATTAATATTTAAAAATCAAAAGATATAATAATCAATAGAGTTTCTATACATAATGATATAAGAACTAGACATATAGTTAAAATAAAGACATACTATACAATAGCAACAAAAATGATTAGGAATAAATCTAATAAAAGATGCAAAAAATGTGGGGGAGAAGTTTATAATGATGTATTAAAAAACTAGTAGGACTTTTTACATGAAGGTCAATTTTCCTCAAATTAATCTCTCAATTTAATGGAAGCCAATAAAAAAACAAACAACCTAATACATTGATTGAAAAATTTGGTAATGGTGATTTTAGCATTCATCTGTTCTCTCTCTCTTTTTTTTTTAAATATATTTTATTGATTTTTTACAGAGAGGAAGGGAGAGAGATAGAGAGTTAGAAACATCGATGAGAGAGAAACATCGATCAGCTGTCTCCTGCACATCTCCTACTGGGGATGTGCCCACAACCCAGGTACATGCCCTTGACCGGAATTGAACCCGGGACCTTTCAGTCCACAGGCTGACGCTTTATCCACTGAGCCAAACCGGTTTCGGCACATTCATCTGTTCTCTATGGATTTTAGACTCCAGAGTCTGGGTTCTAGACTTTGGAAGTTTGTTATTTTGATCAAGAAGTGCCAAAAAAAAAGTTTTACAAAAGAGAACTTCCTTAAGAGATTTCCATCCTTCCCTGACACTGTGCTAAGTGAAGCAGTGTGGTGTCAGGCTAGTGGCCTAGAATAGAGCTCAGAGTAGACCCACACTTCTGTGGAAACGTGTATGCGGTAGGGAAGAAATGGATCAATTGACAAATGGTTCTGCAAACTGGCTCTATCGCAAGAAGACAAATTAGATTCCTGTTATTAGTCTTTCACAAAATAAATTTCAGATGGATTAAAGAGCTAACCAAAAACTTCTTGAATACAGGAAATAACACCATGCTATCAGGGTAGGGAAGATTCTTGAATCAAGATAAAATAACTAAAACCATAAAAGAAAAATGTTGCATTTATTGCATTAAAAAAAAGTTTCCTGCCCTGGCCAGGTAGCTCGTTAGAGCATCATCCCAATACACCAAGGTTGTGGGTTCAATCCCCAGTCAGGGCACATACAAGAAGTAACAACGAATACATAAATAAGTAGAAAAACAAATCAATGTCTCTCTCTCTCTCTCTCAAAATCAATAAATAAAAAATTTAAAAAGAAAAGTTTCCTATGGCAAAAAAAAAGTGCTCTAAGTGAAAAGACCACCTATCAATTGGGATAAAACACAGACAATAGAAAGTAGAAAAAACAGACAAAAGATATGAACAGACAGTTCACAGAAAAGAAAACCAAGTGACCTATAAAGTAATGAAGGTGCTCAATCTTGCTAACGATGAGGGGAAATGCAAATTAAAACCTGATTCTGTTTTCCACTCATCAGATTGGCACAAATTAATGAGTCTGAAGACCTCAACTGCTGGTGAGGAGGTGGGGAAGTGGAAATTCTTACTGAGATTGTAAATGATACAAATACATTCATTAGATCAATTCAGAATATGGCTGTGCTGTAAGATATGACAACGGCCGTGAGGAGACTATTTCAGACAGGCTGATCGAGAAAGGAATGTTTGTGAGATGATGGCCCCCCTGACCCCCAATTCTAGCAACAGTGTCTGGCACAGGACAGTTGCCCAGTAAGTAAGTCCTCATTAAATTTACCCAAACTCTGCTCATGTTCCTCCAGCCTCGCTCAGTCTTGTGTGGATATGTCCTGCATTGTCTTTCAATGAATCAGTGGCTATGACATTAGCTTCTGAAAGGTTAAAGGTACACAGAGGAAAACTTTAAACAATGCAGACAGAAAGTGACAGGGAAGGGGCAGGGAGCTGCTGGACTAGGCAGTGGGACTGTGTGTGGCCAAATTGATGGCCAAGAAATGGTGGGTTGGATACTCATGGGGGGTAGGGATGGGGAGAAGAGGGATGAAGGGGGTAGCGCATGGGGGCTGTCCAAAGAAGCCTCTTTAGTTGGGGAGGGACTGAGGCAGGAGGATTAGTGTTCACTAAGGAGGGTGCCAAGGAGACAGGAAAAGAGGGTGCAGGGTTAGGATGTCCTAGGTTTGCTTGGACTCAGAACCCAGGAGCTCATCCCTATTTGAAGCTCTGAAGAAGGACATGGTATCTTCCTTTGTACTAAGTTGTACTGAAACATGGTTGGTGAACAGAGCCATATTGACCCAGTTCTGAAGACCTTCCAGCCACAAGAATGCTAGAGTGAGTGGGCCATTGGTTTTGCACATTAATAAAAGACAGTCATGTGCCACATAAATGTTTGGTCAAAGCCCAGCAGCATATAAGATGGTGGTCCTGCCCAGCGGCTTGGCTCAGTGGTTGAGAGTCAATATATGAACCAGGAGGTCACGGTTCGATTGCCAGTCAGGACACATGCCTGGGTTGCAGGCTCGATCCCCAGTGTGGGGAGTACAGGAGGCAGCCAATCGGTGATTCTCTTTCATCATTGATGTTTCTATCTCTCTCTCCCTTTCCCTTCCTCTCTGAAATCAATTAAATACACACACACACACATATTTAAAAGATGGTGGTCCCATAAGATTGTAATGGAGCTGAAAAATTCCTATCGCCTTGTGACATCCTAGCTGTCATAATGCCACTGCAACACATGACTCACATGTTTGTGGTGATCTAGTTATGTATATAGTACATAGTCCTTGATGAAGATAATAAATACGTTGTTGGTTCATGTATTTGCTATACTATACCTTTTATTATTATTCGCGTGTACTCTTTCTACTCATTAAAAAGAAAAAGCTTGCTGTATAACCATAGGCCCTGTACGCCAACAGCAGCCTCATATATCTCATTTACCGTGTCTCTTGATTGCATCATTGTCTCTCGGGCTTGATTTAATCTCGTGTTGTTTTGAGCAGTGACATGCCGTACAGGCTGGTAGCCCAGGAGCAGTGGGCTGTGCTGTACAGCCTCGGTGTGTCATGGGCTAGACCACCGAGGCTTGTGTAAGTGCACCCTGTGATGTTCGCTCAACAATGAAATTGCTTCGTGACGCATTTCTCAGGCCTTATCCCTGTCGCATGACTGTACTTGAAAAACTGTAAAGTTATGAAAAATTAGGAAGTGAATGGCTTGGGAAATGGAGAAGCCGACTCTTTATTTTCTGCCCTCCTGTTCTATTCTCTTGTTTTTCTGGGCCACACATATGTTTTGTTTTTATGATTAAAAACGACTTGTTTTGTTATGCATCAGTGCAAATATATTAGCATAGGCACTTCGGACCTATTTTAGCAGAAACTTCACGTCTAAGTCTCCCACTGCCCACTTGCCTACCCACCCCCACCTCTTGCTTCCTACACCCCAGTTGTACTCAGCCAGGGTCAAGTTCCCACTGTCTGACCTAGGCTCCTGGGGGGCTTCTTTCCTTACAGGCTCCCCGGGGCCTGACCTTGAGGTGTGCAGGAGACGCCCCCCCCCCCCCCCCCCCCCCCCGAAACCCCTAGCACATAGAAAATGTTCATTGAGGAATTACAGGCATACCTCGTTCTACTGCACTTCACAGATGTTGCATTTTTACAAAATAAAGGAAAGATCCTCTGACAGCAAAAATAATTCAACTCATTTTTTGGTGATACCCGCTTTATCGTGGTGGCCTGGCACCCAACCTGCAGCCCCTGCGAGGTACACCAGTGTTAGCTGTTAGCAATGTTCATGGAGCACCTACTGCCGATTCGTCTCATGATGACTAATTCATAGGAGCCTGTGTATGCCATCTCCTGCTGAGCGCTGGCTGAAGGGGAGGAGGCCTGCAGACCTTATATTTCAGACAGAGCAGGGATCCTGAGCTTGACCTTGCAAAGGCGTCTAGGGAGGGTTGCTGGGACCCACCACACCACCCACGCTGCTTCCATTCCGGAGTTCCAGGGTGGGACCGATCATTTGCATTTCTAACGTCTTCTCAGCTGCTGCCGAGGCCGCCTGTGGGGGATCTTGCTTTGAGAACCACTGTTCTAGAGTTTAGGAAGATGGCCAATTAGGGCAAATGGGCGAACTCCCAGCAGGAAAGGGGAAGGACTTTTGAGGGGGCACAGCCTGCTTTTTGGCTCTTTCCTGGGCCGAGGCAGCCCTCTGTTATTCCCACAGGGGGTCTGCCTTTTCAGTCTCCCACCTGAGGAGCCTGCCTGCTGAGGACAGGACTTGGGCCAGCATCTGGCTTTTCCTCTTACACTTGGTTCTCCAGGGTCCTGCTTCCGAGCCACACCGTGGGCTCTCCTGGGCCTCAGTGACCGCATCTGTAGAATGGGTAGGAAACTGAACTCCCAACATGGTCAGGGGGAGGCAGGAATGAAAGGTAGCTGTGAAGAATATAGCACAGGGCTGGGCCCTCACAACTCCGTCAGCATCGCTACTGCTGCAGGTTTGCATTTTCCTGAGCAGAGCACCTGTGTCAGCACAGGGGGACCTCGAGGGTAGATCTCCTGGAGGGGGAACGCAGTAGCAGAAGGACTCGAACAGTGAGCTGGCATTTATATTGAGTCTGGGACCTGCATAGGGCCCATGGATCCTATGTCAGTAATAAGGAAACCCCAATTTCTCCAGCCTCTGTTGGCCTGAGGTGGCCACTTGCTGTAATGTTTTCCTTCCTACACTGGGAGGGATTTTAATATCTGAAATATCTCACTTGAAAATTTTAGGTAGTAATTTTGTCAACGTTTTTTCTTCATCGCTTGGTGTGAAAGTCATGTACATTATGCCTTTTTTTATTTATCACTTTATACCTTTAGCTCTTTGTTATAAGTGCACTCTTTCAGGCACAAGAAGTTACGTTTCCCCCTCAAGGTCACTTATTGAATCATATGTTCTTTCTTCACTGATGTGAGATTGTACCTTTCACCATTTGCTAAGTCCCCATGTATATGCACATAGGGGTAGGGTATTAAAAGCTTTATTTAGCCCCATTATGTTTTCTGATTGCCTCTGTACCAACAACAGATGATTTAATACAAAATTAAATTGGTATTTTTATAAAAATAACACATTTATGGTAACCAATGCTGGAACAGCGCAGATAGGTGTAATTTGCCACCATCACCAATCCCACCTCCCAGAAAGAAAGGTCTGGGTTAGGGTTTGTGGCAGGCTTAGGGATGGGAGCCCGGGATTAGGGAAGGGGTGTCCGCATTTCAAAGGCAGCCATGCCAGGCTGTGGCTGGCAGCGGGTTTCGGTCATCTGGCCAGCCGTGGTGGTCCCGATTCATTCCCTGGAAGTGATCTGTGACTGATACTACTTTTCAGACGACAAACATGTGCTGAGTGGTTGGTTAGTTGTCTTGTTCAACGTCGTGCAGCCAGTGGGCAGGTGAAATTCTTCAGGTTAGCGCCGCATAGCAGGACGTGGGCTGTTTCTTAATAGCTTCCCTCCTACATCACACGTGCTCCGTGTATTTGACTGAGGCTGTCTCCCCCAATAGACTGGAAGCTCCGTGTGGCAGACACGAGGGCTGTTTAGTCACTGCTCTATGCCCAATGCCTATAATCATGGGAGGCACATAGTAGGTGGTCAACAGATATTTGTGGATTAACAGGGTTATGCTTATTCTATTGCTTGGTGCCTAAAATTACTAAGACATGCTAATAACTACACTGAGAGAGCTTTTATGTACTGAGACACAGGCTCCATATGGTTCGTAGAGAATCTTCTAAGTGTGTTACAAATTCCGGCAACATGGTTGAGTGTCAGTGACAGACATGCCTGTCTCCACCATTCATCTGTGGAGGTGCCACAATCCTGGGTCTAGAGTAGCAGTGAGTCTGTGAGTAACAGAGCATTCATCATTTTGGCTGCTTGTATCTAAACTTCAGTAACAAGCCACCTTTCACACAGTCAGCTAGCGCCTGGATTGGAGAGAAACCATCACGCACTGGGCTCCTCAGACGTGGCTCAGGTGCCATGTGGTTTGCCTACCGGGCTCCTGGCTGGGCCACCCAGGCTTTTCCTTAATCACCATGCTTCTAGGATGGAGGCGTCTCAGAGATTCACTGCCACCCAATAAAAGTTCTAGATTCTCCTGGAATATTTTCTCAGCTGCTAGGATAACCAACCCTTCAACTCCTGGTCCTCCTCCACGGCTCCTCTACCTCAGAAGAAAATTATTGATTGTACTTATTGGATAATTTAAATCCCATAAAAGGGACTAGTCTAAAGATATTTTTTAAATGAGACATGGCAATAGAGTGCAATGCAGAATAGCCAAGAATATTGCTAGCGATAGATTTGTGTGAAATGGCAAAAAGCTGTGTGCAGAGATGTATTTACTTGACTGTACAGAACAGGGACTCCAAGGATCTAACCATCACAACTGCGGTGGCTGCTGGGCAGAGCGAGGGTCCCATTCATCCTAGCAGCAAGGCCACCGCACAGGAAGGAGCCTGGCAGGAGTACCTGGGTTACCAAAGAGAAAAACCCCTGGGTTACCCCAGGAAGGAAGTTACCTTTTTGGGAAAAGCTACAGCTATGTGTTCTGTAGGTGTACATTTCCACATATTTCCACAATATGTTATAACCAGAATTTGAAAAATACATTAAAACAGACAACAAACAGAAATTTATAAAATAGGAAAAATGCAGAGCCCTGTCCCCACCCACTCAGCTGCCCTCCTCCCTCCAGGCAGCACCACACACTGCGTGCCTGGGATCTGTCATTGTTCCTTTGTCAGACACATTCATGATAAGAAACAAGGTTAATAGCAGTTTTCTGCAGTAAAGTTGGGTGGTTAGGCATGGCCATTGGAGGAGAAAGGAATTAAACCATATCTTCCACTAATAGAAAATAATATCGAATGTCAACTGGCATGGGAAAAAAACAGACATATCTCCCCCTAAAAAATAAAAAGGAAGGAAGGAGCCCACAAAATGGACACCTTTCTGAAAGCTGATCTCCTATGCATTGTGGACATTACATAGACACAACTGTTGACTGCCAGTCTCTTAAATAACAATGATGTTAATTAGAATAATACTAGCAGCCATTGTGTGCTTGACCCAGCTTCCACTCTAGCTTAATGACCTTCTCTCTTGAAAATCAGGCTCCCATTGTATTTCCACTTTATTTGTTATTATTATTACAGAACCTTTCAAACACACCCAGAAGGAGCGAATGGTGCAAGGGTCCACCCTTCTCCCTGGACCCAGCACCAGGTCAACAGCAACCCCTTGCTGTCACCTGTGCTTCCCCCATCCCTCTGTCCACTTTCAGGCCCAACATGTTAAAAGGAACCCTAGGCTTTGCGTCAGTCCCACAGAAACACTTCAGTGTGTATCTCTACCTTAGCCGATAAAGACTCTTTTTGCTTGTTTGTTATTCTGACCGTCTAAACCACAACATTACTATCACTCCCAACAGAAGTTAATAATAATGTCTCACCATGTAATAACCGGTGCCTTTTCAATTCTGTGTTTGTGTGAATTTAAGTCAGACCAGAGGAAGAGCGGGCAAGCTTTGAAAAGTTGGCAAAGGCCAAAAGGCATTTAAGGAGTCTCTGGGGGAGCTTGTTAGAGATTCAAGACCCCCGTCGAGGCCCACAGAAACCAAACTGCCAGTTTAATGAAGCTGTGGGTGACTCACGTTTGAGGCTCCCTATCTACTGCATAGGCCACAGTGGCGTGCACTCGGGACTTACCCACTTTTCTTCGCTCTGGGTCTTGTAGGCTACGAGGGGCAGCTCCTTGGAGTCCTCTCTCCAACAGTGAGAGCCCGCCATTCTGCAGGCGTCACCAGGCCCCTGGGGACAGGCAAGGCCCTGTCCTTCTGAGGCCCTCCCTGCAGGGGAAGGACGAGGGCAATGAGAGGAGTTCCATGTGGGAACAAGGCTGAAAGCTTCCCTGATCCATCTGGTCCTGGCGGAGGAAAGTCTGTTGAGCCATCAGGCAGATCAGAGAATCGTCCCAGACCCATCATGCCTGTCAGGGAATCTAAGAAATGAGAAAGGCAGCACTTCAACCTGGGAGGGTTTTTTAAATAAATGCTGTTGGGGCCCTGGCTGGGTAGCTCAGTTGGCTAGAGCATCATTCTGATATGACAAGGCTGCGGGTTTGATCCCTGGTCAGGGCCCATACAAGAAGCAACCAATGAATGAATAAATAAGTGGAACAACAGATCCATGTTTCTCTCCCCTCCTCCCTTTCTTTTTCTAAAAATAAATAAATGAATGAATAAATGAATAAATACTGTTGGGAAATCAGCTGGAAGTCTGTCCATGTGGCAACTGTGACCTGAGTCTCCCCCCTCCGGCCTCAAGCACATGCAAACACACATTTCAATTCCAGGTGGGTTCAAGACCCGAACCTGAAAACGAATTCTGTAAGATCGCTTGACACAGACAGGTGAAGAGATAGTGCAGCACAAACATGGGAGGATAGCAAGAACAGGCAGTTCACGGGGGAAGAAATCCAAGGGGCCAAAAAGTGTGGGAGAAGTGGCAGATCACATATTGTCTCCACCATCAGACAATGAAGACTCTAAAAAAGAGATGTAGCTGCAGAGAATAATGTAGAACAGCCAAGAATATTGGTACATGGTAAATTCTGCAAGATGGCAAAGAATAATATTTTCTTTTATTTATTTTATTTTTTAAATATATTTTATTGATTTTTTTACAGAGAGGAAGGGAGAGGGATAGAGAGTTAGAAACATCGATGAGAGAGAAACATAGATCAGCTGCCTCCTGCACACTCCCTACTGGGGATGTGCCTGCAACCAAGGTACATGCCCTTGACTGGAATCGAACCTGGGACCCTTGAGTCTGTAGGCTGATGCTCTATCCACTGAGCCAAACTAGTTAGGGCTAATATCTTCTTTTAAAACATTTATAAAAGTTGTGTGCAAAACTATGGACTTAAATATACAGAAAAAGGACTCCAAGGATACTTACCAGACTTACTTGCGGTTAGTTTTGGGGAGAACCTAGGGCGTTCTTACTCATTATACTGTACTAATGCCACCATCCCTTGCAGGTGAGTGGTCCCTGGTTTGTAAGCACTAGGTAACAGGAGGCATTTTCGTGAACTGAATGGCTGAGCTCCTGACTCCACCTTCACTTCCAATTCCAGGCTGGGCTCCAGCTCATGACGCCCCAGGGCCTTGAACTCCTTCCCCTTCCCTCTGCTTCCTCTAAAGACCTACTCTCTGTCCTTCAGGGCACTCATGATTCCAGCGTCACCTCCTCTAGGAACCTGTGGCTCCCCCAGACGAGGCCAGGCCGCCTTGTACCCACGACACCCTGTTTCTTCATAGCTTCGCCTCTGTAAGTGTTGGGGTAGTTGTTTGCCCAGGTTTGTCAGCCACCAGTGGTGGCGGGTTTGGGCCTTTTTGATTGACTCTGAGCTCCCAGCACAGGGCCAGGCACAGGTGAGGCCTCCATAAATACCTGTGGAATGAATGGTGCAAAAGAGACAAGTCAGGGCAGAGACAGGGAGTCTCAGGGGGGAGGGCCGCTGGGGACCCGGGGGACTGGGAAGGCCAGTCTGAGAAGGTGACCTGTGTGACCAACAGGCCGTCCAGGAGGGGACCAGTTAGTCAGGCCTTCCCAGGTGCCCAGAGAAACATGTGGACACTGAACATACCACAAAGCGGCCTTTAAGGTCAGGCTCCCAGGAAGGGCTTTGCAGACTCTGTTCCTCACTTCCCTTCCCCCAGCCCAAGAGGGTGAGAATGTCATGTGTTTGAGATGTGTAGAAACTGAGGCATGTAACTTGCTAGTGACGGATGAAGATGGGATTTGAACCCAGAGCCGTGGGACCACATGCCCCACACACTGGAACAGCTCTGTTCATCATGTGGGTCAACTACCTTAGTCCAGGTGGCACTCAGCGTTTGCAAGCTCTGACATTGACGGAGCCCCGACCTCCCTCCTTACTACCCTGAGCCCTTTTCCTCATGTGTAAGTGGGGGTATTAACAGGACCCATCTCACAGGGCCACTGTGAGGCTCCGTGAGGCCATACACAGGCAGTGCCCGGGGCAGACATGGTCAGTGCCACGCAAGGTTGGCCATCAGCACTCTGTCCTCTCTGCAGAGCCCGTACCAAGCCACACGGGCACCAAGGCAGTGGGTCTTTCACTGATGCTTATTATTGGTTAGGATGAACATCCAGGAGGCCTTTCCCTTCCCCAGGAGGCAGGGGAGTGTAGTGGTTAGTACCATACCCTGGATACAAGATGCCATGTTCTCCTTCCAACCAGTGTCCTGGACCTGGGGTCTGGGGCAGCCCTCTCTGAACACTGAAGTCCTTATTGGTGACATAGGCGTGGTCAGTGTTCCTGTCTCATGAAACCGGAAGGTGAAATTACATCAGTGTTCAGAAATCACCAAGTGAACCCTAGCCAGTTTGGCTCAGTGGATAGAGCGTCGGCTTTCGGACCAACGGGTCCTGGGTTCAATTCTGGTCAAGGGCACGTACCTCGGTTGCAAGCTCCTCCCTGGCGTGGGTCCTGGTCAGGGCTAGTGCAGGAGGCAACCGATCAATGTGTTTCTCTCACATTGATGTTTCTTTCTGTCTTTCCCTCTCTCTTCCACTCTCTCTAAAAATCAATGGGAAAAAAATATCCTCGGGTGAGGATTAAAAAAAATTTTTTTTAAATAATAAAATAAAAAGAATGTCTTTAAAAAAAGAAATCATCAAGTGACCATGGCCTGGGACACAGTTAGCACCCAATGAAGGTTTCAGCTCTTGTCCCCGCCACAGCCCCTCCCTCGCTCCTCTGTTATCTGGTTGAAGACCTTCCTGGTGGAATTTGGCACCAAATCTCCCTGGTTTCACCTGCTCCATCAACTCCCAGTACCTAGAAATGTGGAAAGTATCCTCCCTCCTCCCCCAACTCCCATCGACAGGGAAAACTTTGGGGGGAGGTGGGGGTGTAGAGTTTGTAAAAGTTCCTGAAGGATCAGGACATGCCTTGGGGCCTGGAAGTCTGGTCAGTGTTCAGTGCTCAGTCTGTAGGGTGTTAACACTGGGACGCTGGCCACCATCAGCCAAGCACTGGGAGCCAGACCCCACTTCTCCCTGCCCCTCCTCCCTCCCACCATGACCAGAGGTGCAGAGGCAGACCCCTGTCCTCCAGAAATTGCTGGATTTCCTTTTCACGACACCTTCCATTTCCCTGCAGACAAATAGGAGACATTCACGTCTGAAGGTGGGGTGTGAGTGGGGGTGCGGGTGGGGGTGCGGGTGGGAGGGGATGAGAGAACCCCTGGAGGCCTACCCCAGTTGACACAAAATAACAAACCATCCAGGATTCTATTGTATTTGTAAACCGGGCTTCCTTCCCCACTCCCAGGCATCTGCTCACTGCTCTCCTAATGGAACATTCTTATGGAGATCTGCTATTGTCCCATTCACAAAAGAGGAAACTGCCTACCTGGAGGGGGAATGCCCTTGCACAACCCCCTTTCTGTGGATGTTTACAACAATCCATCTTAGATCCTCAAATATATCAAAACCATTATTCTTATTCATTTATTTATTTAAAATGTTCAATCCCAATGGACATTCAATATTTTTAACATAGGTATATTTTGCTGTCCAAAGGGACACATATAACAAAAAAAATGTGAAGCCTGCCCTTTCTAGTGTGGGCAGTAACTTTCCATTATTTACTACCTTAAAGTTGATTTTTACCCCAGCATCTCGGTTATCTACTAAATCTTGCAAATTGCTTAATTCAATCAGATAGCATTTCTGAGATTCATTTTTATTCTTTTTTTGGACATCTGAATTCTCAGCTCTAATCTAATGGTGGCCTTTAAGGTGGGCCCCTGCCTCCAACCTATCTCCCAAAGTACCAAGGACCATTTAATTCTAAAACTTGGATGTTGTGCCTGTAAAGAACATTTTGGATCCTAGCCAACTATCAATGTGCTTTAAGTTTTGCAGTTTATCTATTTTCTTACCTAATTGGCTGGTTATATTTGTTCTCTATCAAACTTATACTTTTCACTGCTAAAGGTCTCCTGTAGGATTAT